TATAGCCATACTTGCTAAATTATTACCATTAATTGTTATACTGATGTTTATTATGGTGGTATTAAAAAACTAATTGAGAATAGGTCCTTTTGTGCTTGATGTTGTACAGGTCTAGAGGAGCAGATAAGTGTCTCTCGACAGAGATGGACAAGAGCTTAAAAAGCATACAAAGAGCACAAAATATTTCTTACATTTTCCTTGCCTTGTGACTGGATTCAGAGCATGTGGATTATAGTGGACTTTGGATCAAGTTCACTTAATATTTCTGCCCTTGTTTCTGTATTGTTCTAAAACCGTAAAGAAATCTACAACATTTTTGTGGAACTGAAGGGCAGTGCAAGAATTCTTTGCTTTTAGGAACTGAATATGCATAAAGCCTTTCAAACCATGGCTTCCGTGAATTTAAATTTCATGACCCTGTCAATATCAATGGATCAATTTTAGAATTTAAATGCTAATTGAATGCTTTTCATTATCTCCTGTTTACCCTAATAGTTAAATGAATGAAGAATCGTAAATGAGTTGTTTGTAATCTATATTCTTATGTTATTCTAAAACTTGTTTCTTTTAATTATATTAATGTAGCAATTACTCAGTAACTCTCCCTTAAAAGTTTCTGATACATAACTCTTGCTTCGGATCTTAGGTTAAGTTTCAGGTGAATCCTTACTTTAACATTTTCTGACAAGAAATCAGTCGTTATCCAAGATAGAAGGAAGATTTGAGCAGAAAGGGAATTAGCAATGGTGGTATCAGCTGTCAGTCACTCAAGTGAAAGTTGAATAAATTTTTACAATCAAAAGTGATAACTTCCATAAAGAGATCTGAGCTTTTATCAGTCTGAAATGATAATTTACAAAATTCTTACCTGTTACTGACTGAGAAAATCACTGCTGTTGCCACACATTTCTATCTTGGAAGAAAGAAGGAATGTTGTAGCAGGAAAGTAAGGTCTTCTGTGTCCTAGCAACCTGGAAGAGCAGCTCTCCTCACTATAGGTAATTTGGATGGCACCTCTCTCCCTCTCCCCCTTTCTCTCCCCGACTCCTTCCTTCCCTCCCTTCAGCTTAGCCAATGAATTCTGCTTTATGATTATGGTCTTACTTTCAAGTTCTGGCTCCCTCTGCTGTTATATAAATATAGAAATTCTACTGATACTGGAGAGGAATAGCAACTTCAGCAAAGAGCTATAAAGTTATGTGAAGCACAGCACGTACCCGTGCTACACACAAGTACGTACTCAAGTGGAAGCACACTAAAGCAATGGGACAAAATACAAGAACAGAGCCTAATCCTGTTCTCCTTGCTGAGACAAGTTTCTGTAGGGCTCAGAGAAATTTGCTTCATACATATAAAAAGATTGCCAGTATCAGTTTTCTCAATTTTTCTGTTCCCTCACAGACTGATACTGAAATTTTATTTTAGTAGGATCCAGGCTACAAATCCTTAAGTTGTGAAAGGGAAGAGGTACATTGTTACTCAGGCAAAGAACTCAGAAACTTAAGAGCACTGAGAAAGCCGGAAATAGAGGAAAAGAAGGATTTGCAGAAGTGCCAGTTTTCTTTGATTTTTTTTCCCAGGTCTTTCTGATGAAAAACCAAGGCAGGAATCAGAGTTGTGAATTTTTCTCTTGCACTGTGAAAATACACAAACAGAATATTTCCAAGGCGTATATCAGAATATTCTAATTCTGGTCTTTACTTAAAGTGGGTTTTAAACTACGGTCAGCTACTTAACTAGACCAGTGGCTAATGCTATTCTGGGGCCCTTCTAAAGGTGTGATAATTAGTTCTAGCAAATATGTGTTTTCATTTGTAAGCATGTAGTATGTCAACAGAAATCAAACATTTCAATATCAAAATAAGTACAAGCTCTTACCAACTAAACTAAATGTGAAAATATTTTTTCATTTCTACTGCAGTCTCTCATTTTTTCTGGTAGCAGCTATTACAGATGTGCTCATCTACTTCAAGAGCTTAGCTGACATCTTTCATCATTAGAGAAACAATCAAAGCAGAAACATGAATATTTAATGTCTTTCTAGGGTATTTGGGCATTTCTTATGTCTTATGATGCTGAGAAGCATAAAACTGTAACCTGTGTAATGAATGGTGTAAGCTGGAGAGTTGTCCTTAGTTACTGATTCTTTCTTCAGGGCATGCTTGATCTGCTTCTTATTTTGTATTACTTATTTTTCCCAGCCTCCTTTTCAGGAGCTTTATTTACCAGCTAGTTTGAACCAGCACCCTGTATTCCAGCATCCCCCTTTTACCCAGGCGCCTCAGAAGGAAATGACCTTTCTGATCCAATTAGGGAAGAGGACATGAAGTCTGTGCTCCAGCTGAGAAGGCACCAGCCCACAGAGATCTTGAGCCTCTTGCCAGCTCCTTAGGAAGCAGAAGCTTTCTATCTTACTGGAGCCAGAAAAGCTGAAATGACTTATTTAACTGGCCTGTTCACTTCTGTTTCTTCCTAATTTATTTATAATATGTTTATTTGTTCTGCTGTTCAAAGCATTAAATGGGAGGAAAACCACTAGGAAACAGACAGTCCTTTTACTAAGGGATATTTTGATATGTGAAGCTGCTGTTCTTGTCTCCCTCAGCTTACTCCCATTCTCTGTCTACAGTACGTGCTCCTGTTATGGGAAGGCACTGGGGAACTGTCCTGTTTTCTCTGCAGTTTATTACTTAAGACAGTTGGACTCCATGGAGACAACGCGCTTCGAGGGGGTTCAGGTGCATGGGGAAATAGTCCTCTCTGCTCTGGCCAGATAACTCCTTCCTGCAAGTGGTTACGCTGACAGCAAGGCCTCTACTTAAAAACGTTCATTGGCTACAATTAAGCATTTCCCTGGGAGTGACAGGATTGTCACAGCAGTGGGATTACAGCTGCACTCTGGAGGTTTTGAGGGTCTCCTCCAGCGCTCTTGTGTCAGATCTTCAGCCATATCGCCTTCATTGATGGAGCCCTGGTGCTCTGTCTCTTTCTTTCCTCTGAGCATGGCATTTCAGAGGCCAATGCTCCTACAGAACATTTAGCAAATCTAATTGTGATCCAGCATCTGGAGTCTTGCTCTTTCTGGTACTGTTAAACAGTGAGCAAACAGTGTCCACAAAGAATGGTACTAGGTACTCGATGATGAAAGCACATGAAGAAAATGTACCATGGGAACAGTACATAGCCCATGTATGTGCTAAGCTTATCAGGTCTACATGGCATCCTTGTAGGTATTTTGCACAAGTTTGGTTTGGCTTTATTTTGTCAGAACCTCTACCTCTCTCTGAAGCAGAATTGATATTTTAACCATTTTCAGCCTTCTCCAATTTGTTCATAACCTTCCTTCCTTGGGGGGAGATGTGAAACTGATGTATATTCCCAGGGATTTTTCTGAACTGCTTAAACGATGTTCAAGCCTTCAGGAAAGCCCTGTTGCTCCTGGCCCTCTAGGCGGGTCCTTATAAATGTATCTAGCAGTTAGGAACCTGATAGCATGATTCCTTATATCTATATCCTTTTTTTTATATATATATATATAAACCTGCGTGAAATCCTCTGATCCACCCTCAGCAAGTGCAAAAGTGAGAGCCCCTCCAGAGTCTGCTGTTCACAGGTTGGAAGGGTCATAGCCAGCTTCAGTGATATCCACTCCGCTACTCCCAAAAGGCATAGGGGGGTTATCACAGGGAGCTGCTACTAGCCAGTTCTAACTAAACCTGAGGGCCAAAGATTTAAGAAGGTGCAATTGTATTTCTCATTTCACCTACTTCCTGGAATTACTATAATGACTTTCTGGTAGCACCTGGAGCCATGGATGGGTTTTCTTCTAACCATTGGTAAGCTGTTTTCCTTAGTACATGCAGATTTTCTACTTGTATACTCTCAGCACCACACTTGGAAACAGACCATGTTACTGTGGTTTTCCACAACAGACATTAAAAAGAAGTTGCTGTTTCCATCAGTTGAACTGTTTCATTGCAATATAGTTCAGCAAGGTAGAGGAAAGGCAGATGAACAAAACATCTATGATGTCAGCATTGAATCAACTGAACACACTCAAATAATTTATCCAGGCATTTTGAGCCATACAGTGCTTTTGTTATAATTGCTCCTAATACTGTCTTAATATGTTTTATAGGATATTTCTCATATGAACCACTCTTTTGGACTTCGTACTAGGCACAGTGTAGTGCCTGAAGTCTACTAGCTAAACATGTTTTATAGTCTAGGTTTTGTGTACAAACAGCTTTCATGGAGTTGTTTGTCAGTGGACTCTGATCCAAACAAGATTATTGCATGAAATTCTACCCCAGTAGGGAAGGCTACAGAGCTATTTATGTGGCATTTCTTTGCAGTAGATTGGACTCTCAGGCATGGGCTTGCCTTTTTTGTAATATACCAGCCATCTCCTGGAGAGTATGTTCCCTTGTGCATCTGTACTAATGTATTGACCTACACAAGGCACTAGGGTAGGGGAAGGCTTTCAAAGGGATGTTTTCTGCTTTGTTTCATCCCATTCTTCTAGGATATGTGTCTTGGGGGAATGTCAATTAGTATAGTAGCATAATGAATCTGTTTGGCAACAATTTATGTAATACCTGTTACTCTAAAAACTAGATGATTTTCAAATCAATAGTTAGATTTAAAAACTTTTACAGACACCATGAATTCTTCTGTTTTCAACAAGACCAACCAGTAACTACTTAGAAGGAAAAGCAGTGATTTGATGTATGTGAAAATTTATTTAACTCTGGATCCCAACAGGAAAAAAGTCACAAAGTTATCTGTGGTAAAGCTTGGTTACAAATGTGTATGTTATAAGACAAACCACTTAGTGTCAGAAATGAGAGAGATGTGGCACAGTTAGAGCTGTGAAAGGCACAAGGTGAACCCATTCCTCCTGAAACCATGCTGCTTTGCTGCTTTCCTCTGAAGGAGAGATCCAGATCATGTTCAACTTCTAGGGTAGGTGTGGAAGAGGAGAAGTACATCACATGGTCTTAACCAACTCCATTGTAGACTTTGCAGGTTATGTCAGGATTAGTCTTCTTCACCACTCGAATGGAACAGCTTTTCTTGTGGAATAGGCCAACACAGTTCACCCTGTCATAGTTCTTGGGGATTAAAACCCTGTCATTGACAAAGGCAAAGACAAAATCAGCAGTCAAGACATGAACTGAGACAGGTGCTTAAGAAGCCACACTCACCCTTGAGCAAGCTACATCATGGATTGATTTGGCTCATGGATTCCATTAATGCAAGCACTGTGGATTATCATAGGAGGAGTACAGAGCCCTGATCATGGCTGTTAACAGATGAAGTGATTTCCCAATGTTTATTGTGGTTTAAATGTAGTTCTTACTGGCCATTCTGTTAGGGATAGCTATGAATTCCCACACAGAGACAGAATAGGGATTAATTCTGTCTTCCCCATTCAAACTAAGACTTTTTGGGTAAGAGTAAACAGTTTAAAGAGTGCTGAATCACCCTAGAATGAATACCTCCTAGCTGAGCCTCTTCTTAGTGCAGGCCAACTCCCTCCCTCCAATGGCTGAGGACAGCCAGGAATATTCCCCATCAAGGCTTCCTTGGATTATATCCTTCCTCACAGACCCTTTATGGGACTCTTTCTCCCTCACCTCAAGAAGAAATTTTCTAGCCTTCTGGGGAGATAATCAGTTGACACCATTATATTTGGGAAGACAGCTCTCCTTGATGTGTCACCTACCATCCAGGAGGCAGGAACACACAACAAGATTTAGAAAGCAAATTATCAGAGCAGGGCATGTGTGTCCTGTTTTGAAAAGCAGGAAGGGTGGGCTCTTGGCAGCACGAGGAAGGATGTGGAGCAGCTCTGGCCTGATTAGATGTTTGCAGACAGGCCACTGGTCTGGTGCAGAGCTGCAGAAGCCCACGTGTACATGTGTTGTGGGGTGTTTATGTATCTGGAGACAAGCTGCTGAACAGAAGGAGGAGGAAAACTGTGGTTAAAGGGAGTCATACACCCAGTTAGTGTCAGAATCAAAAGAAGGACTAGCTGATGAAGAAGAGTTGTGTGCTTGAAAGACCCTAGCTGTGTTCCATTTTGTTTCTTGTTCCTTCCAACTCAAACCATTCTGTGATTCTGTGATTCTTCCCAAAAAAGTCTATGTGATTGCCAGATTATCCTGCTTGGTCACAATTAGAACTAACTGGGAAATGGGAAGAGGAATTTCAGTCATGAAAGTATGAAATTCCAATGCATGCTTTCAGTGAGGTTATTTAAGTCTGAACATTTCAACCAGTTCCTGAATAAGCAAACAATTTGGGGGAACTTACAAGCTGCAGCAAATCATTGCAGTCATCTTACATCTGCATTGGTAACAATCTTCTGTCTTCCACACCGCACCAAAAACATAGAGGTTTCTGTTTGAAAGGCACCCTGCGTGCACACACCAGAATATGACAGTCAGTGGATCAATGTAAACACGCATAAATAGACATAGACCACAGTCTTACGTTTGTGGATTGGCAATCAAAGCACTGATTTCCGTTGAGTCACACCATGGAAGAATCTAACCCAGTGCTCTGCAGAAAAGATACCATGTCTTTGCTCCTGAACTGTGCATGAGTGCATGACATGGCATGATAACATGGCAGCAACCACATACCAGAGAAGCACTATTCTGATTTTGCAGTAGATCGGAGAAATGCCTTAGCTTATGACTATGGTAGGATCTTTCTGCCCTGTCTCATATTCAACATACAGATCTAGACTTTAATCTCTCCCTCCTCCCTTCTCCTCAGTTCTTATTAGACTTTAACTTGCTTGGCTAAACTGAATTTAAACACCAGTTTTGTTGTCTTTGCTTTGATTTTAGTGTCAGGTACTCCACTCTGGTTAGTAAATGCTGCTTAGAAGCACATGGGTTTTGCCATGTGGGCGAGGACTTTGGCTATACATTAGCCCAGAAGGTAACTATTGAACAGGACAAAGAATGTGTTATACTATTCCAATGTTTCCAAGAAAATAAGGCTTTGGATCTCTGAACTAATGCTTCATGGGTGTCTAATATATTTGCCATTCTTACCGTATTTGCTGGCTGGTCTAAAGTAACAGCGAGCATCACACAGAGTCCTTGAGAAGAGCAGGATCAAGCAAAAGGCCAGCAAGAATTTCTAGAAAAGAAACAAGAGTCTTTCTTTAAAATTAGATGTTTTTTTCAAAGGTCTAGCAGACTAACTTGCCCAGAATTAAGGATGAGTCCTACTACTGCCAATAAACTCAGATTAAAAACCACTTCTAATCTACATACACACACACACACATGCACTATAAAATGCTGACTTACCATACTTGCATGGGCTGCTCATACTTCCTAATGAGGAGTAGTGCGTATTTATATACAGTGAGGTAACAATGGTCAGTGCAAAGGGAGGTGATGTAAATGTGAGCAGTCCAGGTGCCAATGGACACTCTAACCTGTTCCAATCATCGATCAGAAGGTGGCACCTCAAAAAGTCTTGCAAAGGCACTGACATACATTGGCATTTTGATCTCCATTGTGCTGGTGTAAATCTGAAGAAACTCCAGTAGATACACTAGTTACTCCACCTCAGCATTGGTGTCGGTGGAAGACTCTGACCCCCAGAAAGCTATGCCTCCAGAACTGGCAGATCATCAAGGAACAGTGGGGAAAGGGCACATGCTAAGCAAGGCAGCAGGGCACTATTGTTTGGCTGACCTGCTACAAGCAGATCACCTCCAGGTATGGAACAGGCCATTCATACAGTGCAGTGATGTGGAGAGTCCACTGTTCTCAGACTGACTTATTATAATTTCAATTATTTTCTATAAGACACATTATTTTGTCCATATTTAGTGACCTGCAGGGACTAGCTGTAGTTTTGTATCTCTCAGTTGCTGAAGCAAAGCTGGGTCTAGGGGATGGAGGCAGATCACCATGACCAGATAGCAACTTTTTGGCAGCAAAACTGAGAAGGAACTGTGCATTGTCACAGTCCAGAAATGAAGATAACAGATGCTTGTCGCTTGTGGCTCTCTTCCTGACAGCAGTAGTGATGCTAAGGATTTGGGAAGGCAAAGAAAACAAAAGTTCCAGTTTTCTTTCACCATATGCATGCCCTGCCTCTAACACAGTTGGAATCGGACACCGACAGCAGTGTGGTTTCTGCAACACTAAAATGAGGACATTTATTTCAATGCACATCTTGCCACAGGTGTCCAGGTCTCCGTGAAATTAGGCCATTGCAACACACAGTATGTGAGGCTACGTCTCAAAAACAGCCAGAACTAGCACAGATCCCTGTGACTGAGTCAGGCGCTGTAAGGATCCAGTGCTTTACTGAATTGAAGCATCGGCATAACAAGTTTTAAAAGTTACCAGAGGATTCCCAGCATAATGAGTTGCATTAATTCTATTAGCATGGGTCTTTCAGCACACCTGGGTTTAATTAAACACCTTGATTAGTATGGCTGAACTTGTTAGGTTCCACTGATTGACAAATAGCTAGAGGAAGCAAAACTGCACTGGAAGTGGTTTTGGGATAAAAGGGGCAGTTGCAGAATGAGTGTGAAATTCCTCTTAAGGAACTGGGAGTGAAGGGACAGTTGTGGAAGAGGTGGCTGCTGTTTGTTGTGACAGAAGATTTGATTTATGTAAGTTCCTTGTCTTTATTTGTTTGTGTGTACTTAGTGAGAGGTTTTAGAGCTTCTGTTGTAGTTTGCTTTTAGCTTTGCAGTGCAGTTGTCAAGTTTTGTGTTAACCTTGTGATTTTGGTAGATTATACTCTCTGTGTGTGGTTCTGCTGTAGGAAACAGTTGTGGCATCTAATGAAGTGCTTTGAGGAAAAAACTTCTTCTCTGGTAATCTTTAAATGAATGAATGTCTATCTGAAGGGAATAACTTGCTCAAAATTACTTTGTTAGCTATGAGAAGCAATAAGGTGAAAATGTAATATATCTCTTACACTGCTAAGCCTTTAAGTATGTGATGTGAATTTGTGTTTATTTTAATAGAAACCATTTGATTAGGGTCTAGTGTACCTAGAGACCAGACCCACTTCTGGTCTGTCCCTGCTGTAACTCTTGACAAATCTTATGCTGTTTGAGGAGGGGTAGTTGTTATGGTGTATAATAACTCTTTAATAAGAGTACAGTTGCTAGGAAACCTAACAAGCAACTTCTGATTTGAAGGTCAAATTATTCTCTTACTCAAGATGATTGATTTACTTAATTAGCTAATTATCCTTCTTTCCTTGGAAAGAAATAACTACTTTAATAACTTTATTTTAATTCTTGCTGTTTCTTAGGTAGACAAACATAGAAAATATACATATAAAATAGGAAACTGAAGTGTAGTGTGATCAAGGCTATTGCTGTGAGAAATGCCTGGTAGCTCTACCTCCGTAACCTGAAGTGTCTATTAAAGCATGCTATATGCACTTTTTTCCTTAAAAAAAAAAAAAAGGCAGCTTAAAGCATCTCGGATTACTGACTTCAGAATGAAGAAACCAAATGTTTATAAAAGCCTGTAATATCGAGTGAATTGTCTATGGGATCTGTAGCAATGCAGAGGTTGAACCTGTCTCCTGCTGACCTGCTGGGATCTCTCCTCTTGAGACAAACAAGGTTTTCCATGTCAAACAGGTAACGAAGGAGTAGAGAGGATTCTCTGGTGTGCTGATGTAAATGAAGTTACCTTCTGTGGCTGCAGTATTAAGCAAGTGTCCTCTGCCAAGGGAAGGTTAAGTTGTCCTTGCCTAGCTTGTCTAGTTGATGGCTCTGACAAGTGAGAAGGTTGATTACCTGTAAGACATGGAGACCATGGCAGCTTGCTGCTTTCCCTCTGTACCATCTCCCTTGGGGTCTGTTGTGCTGGAAAGGCTTGCAGTCCAGCTCTAGACATACTGACTTAAACAACTTTCTTCACTGGCTGCAGGGTATGGCAGTAGTTAATGTATGGGTCTCCTCAGCTTGAGGTCCAGGAAGCGATGAGATGAACATCCAGCACTGCCTTTCCTTGTTTGTCTAACTCCTGTGTATGTCAAGGAAGTTGCCAAACTATACTGGTCAAATAATGTAGCAGCTTGACTAAAATAGTGACTCTGTGCCAAGCTGAGAAGGCAATTCTGCCCTGGGAAGATTTTGCGAATGAGAAGGATTTTGAGTTTTCTGAAGAGATGCCTGGAAGGTCTGGGCTGTGGTCCTTCCTCAAACCAGAAGGGTGCCTGGATGGTGGCTCCAGGTCACCAAAGCTCTGATTATGGTATCAATTCCATAATTTGCTTAAAACTTACTCACATTGAAAATGTCTCTTCAGTAGCCTTCAGTGGCTTCAGACATGGTCTACTGGTTGGCTGTTGTTTCACCTTGTGTTTCCTGATTCAAAACTACATCAATATACTGCTTAATTAATAAACAATGTGGTGGTCTTCAAAATTGGATTAAAGCACAAGAATAAATCTGACCTTACTTCAAAACGGTTCATGTCAATCTCTCTAAAAGAGAAGCTAGGAAGGGAAACTGATGTTCCTTCTGACTCTGACAAGTGATTACCTCCCTTTTTAGCTGAAGTTGTGGGAGTGAACCTGTAGGTAGGACCCTTAGCTGCATTCATGTGTGCGCAATCCTCGGGAAATCAAATGGACTTCATGAAATTTGATGTTTTCCCCAAAATGACCACCTGTGTGACCCAGCCCTTGTCAGTGAGAATGTAGTTTGCTACTTATCAGATGTATAGCAGCATCTGTGTGGCCATCACTTGTGATGAGTATTACTATCTTCCCTCTGCAGGAAGGATTCAGGATTGACTTCCTCATGCAAAGGGACCCTGCCCAAATCTTCTCTCTAATGTAATTTTTTAAAAGACATTTCTCTATTAACTCTCCTTTTCTTTCACCACTGGTCTGGGGCAGATGGCAGTTGGATCTCTTGTATGTGTGGAGTTTTGTTTTCTTTAAACTTGTATACTTTGATTTGTTTAACCTATGTGCATGCTCCCCTTTGTCCATCTTGGCTGTGCCTCTGAACATACTCAATTTGAAGTAAAAATTGAGTTCTTTAACAGCTGCTTATGCAGAAGGTCTGACTTTTTCTTTAAACTGTTCAGCAAAATGACATAACACAAATGCAATGTAACACCTCCACCACCTTGAAGAGACATGATGTTGCTTTTTCCTTCCTTCAGTATTAGGATTGTAGAGGGGATAGTTTTGGTCTCAGTCCACAAACTTATTTAGATCCCAGGGTTCCACTTGCCTTCAGCAGAAATTAGCCCTTGCATAAAGTCTGAGTCTAGAGCAGCTCTCTCTTTTTTTTGTTGGCTACACAGCGCTTGTGACATCTCTCTGCTCCTTTCTTCCTCTCTCTGGAAGAACACACTGTAAAGCACAGGGAACTCCAGCTGGAACAGGCACACATCCATATGTGAGGTGGCATGACATGAAGAGACAGTTAATGGCCATACCTAGATGACAGTGCCCTTGGGACACTACCCAGGGATGGAAGAATTGGGGTCTGCCAGGCTGGAATAGCAGTGTCTCTTTTCCTGAGACAGGGAAGAAATACTGCAAGAACAGTGTTATTGCATTTGTTGCTATCTTTGTTGTAATCTAGCTTGAACGACCACACAAGGGATTAACTCTAGCCTAGCTTTTTCACGGAAAGCTTGCATGTCCCAGTGATATCAAAGTGCAAATGGCAGAGAAAAACAAGATTAAATATGTTTTCCTCCCCTCCCTCTGACCTAATGAGCGAGAGTTTTGCCTTCTTTCAGCACTGCAAGCCTGCAGATAGCTGACCACTGCCACTGCTTACCTTCATCCAGAGGAGTGTCCTGCTCCACTTCTCAAGGGGATTCCAGTTGGGGGGTGGGGGGAGCACTAACTGCTCATGAACCTCTGGACCTTGCCTCTCATCCCAAAGAAAGGAGCAGCCCAAATCCCTGGAGTGCAACTATTCTTCCAGGGAGCTAGGAGTAGGACTTGTTATCTGTGGGTGCAGATGGAGCCAGTGCCATGCTGGCCCTGAACTTCCCTATGGGAACCAGTAATGGCAGTTTTGGGAAGATGTCCTTGACTCTCCTGAGCTTTTTGGAGATGAAGTGAGCCTTTAGCCTCTTGGGTGTGACTTGCTCCACATATGACAACTAACTATGCTACCGTAAGGTACTCCTAAAATGGCTGGGCTTTGAAGAGCTCCCTCTTAAGATAATGCTATCAGCTCTAATTTCCCCTCCCACTCTGCCCCTATGTGAGTCTCCTCCATCCTAGCCAAACTCTGAGGGAGCAGAGTTACTGCAAAGGTGAGTCTATGCTATCAGAATTGGTGCTAGGCAAGTAGTTATTTTGACAACTAACTTCCTGAAAATGGAATAGGAGGCTAAAATATCTTAACACTGTCTATTAGTTTGACTACTCTCAACACTTTTACATTTATCAACTTTCCTGTCTTTACCGAACATGTGAAGGAGCCAGGTAAGTTCTTGCCTCTTGCCTGACTAGAAACCAACAAAACCCCACAACTTTGTGTGCTGCATTCTCCTGTGCTCCATCCTTTCTGTGCTGAGTGCAGTCAGAGTTGCATGCTTGGCTCCTCATGGGATCTTGGGTAGATATGTGGCCCAAAGCAAACTGGGGATTAAACACTTTCAGACAAGAAGATAAAGTAACACAAACGCTCATTAACAATGTTAAAAGCTCTCTGCTAGATGATGTGTAGCTAGGAAGACAAAAGTCCTTAAATACTTAATAGCTCTTAATAGCTTGTGCAGAGCATGAAGATCTTAGTCTGTCTAGCAGCGCAGTGCCCTCTAGATTGTGGGGTTTTTTTCCCCCCCTTCATTGTCCCCATTGGATCCGTTCATCTAATGACAGTTCTGTCTTGACTTCAGCTATTCCTGAAAATATAGGTTTCTCACTAAGAGGACTGAAATCTGTTTCCCAGTGACAGAGGACTTCAGGAAGCCCTAGGGTAGTGATGGATGCCTACTTGATGATTCGCCGTCACAAGACGATGATCTTCACTGAGGTCAAAGAGACGACAACTGTGCATGAGTTGAAAAAGGTGGTGGAGGGATTACTGAAGAGGCCACCAGAGGAACAGCAACTCTACGAAGATGACCAGTTGCTGGATGATGATGATAGACCATGGCTTAAGCAGCCAAACCTGCCGTGCTCATGTTTCTGCTGCAGTGGGCTTGGCTTTATTCAGAGCTGGCAATGGCATCTTTGAACAATTGCGTATTGACCCCTTCTCAAGCACCACAGAGCTACCTGATGTTACGAAGTCACAGGAGACTGGTAACAGCTTTAGTGAGCAAGCCTTGCACTAAAACCAGCACCTCCTGTTTTGCCCCTTGCAGACAGGGTGCTGGTCTTGTCTATGTATCTTGCATCCATCCACACCCTTCCAAATATGTCTATCTGACCAACAAAGCATTGCAATTCAATTATATGATGTCTGTGTGCTGTAGCGTCCAGGCAGCCAACAGAACTGTTTCCTGGGATCCTTCTCTCAAATTAGTGCTAGAGGAGAAGGGTGGCAGCAGCTACATGTGTGCCTCCTGAATTGTAAACGGCATGTTCTGCCACTTGTGTTTCTTCCAGCCAATGCCTGTGGCATTATCAGCTCTGAGCTGCTGTTTTTCTATGGGGGAAGAAGGGTTGCGCAGACTAACTTCATATACAAGGATTTGTTTCTCTGTCTTCATCTTGACTGCTGACAGTGGTGTCTCTGAGGGTTTGGCTGGAAATCTTGAGGAACAGGGGTGCAGAATGAACTTTGACTCCTTCCTGTAGCAAAGTCTTTAGGAAGACTATAACCTTAAGACCTGAGCAGAGGTAAGGTTAGCAAATGAAGCTTATTACCTCCAAAGTTAAGGGACACTGCACTAATACAATGCACAACAATGAATTTTTAGAGTTGACATGAAGTATGGTTACTGGCACGGAGTGCTGAAAACTTCTAACAGCTAGGCAAAGATTTTTCTTCAAAGTATTAAGAGTTTACTTTCTGGCTTCTCTGTTCTTGAAAGGCAAGAAAAATGCAGTGGGAAAAGGGCAGTATAGCAGAAACTGATATAATAAAACTGCAGTTTGAGAGATCTGTAAGAAATAAGTTGGTTACCGTAGGCATGAGATCAGTCCTATCAATGTTACTGTTAAGGAAGTTTATGAGGTCACTTCTCTTCCCAAACAGAATTTACCTCTGCACTATTTTTTTTGTTCTAGGAACCAGATTCTCTATTTCAGAATAAGTATTAGACTTTCCCTTTCATCCCTGGTGATGATTTCACAAGCCATCACATCTAACTCAACTCTCTCTGCTGTGCTTCAAGGGCAAACTGATGGTTTTAGTCTGTGTTAACAATCAGAGGTGCTAATGCAACTATTCCCTCAATGAAACTCTGAAGCAGTGTTATTGTTAAGTTTTCATTCTCCTGTATCGAGGGTAATTCAGGCAGGTGAGTTGATGTCCAAGTTCAAAAAATACTTTAAAAACTACTCAGTCTTGTCCATGATATCTCTTTGAAGATTTTTCTCTGTAATAATAGACTAAAGACACTTCTAAAATGCCTCTTACATTCTTAAACCTCACTGGAGCAAACAAATTGAGCTCAAGTCTACCAGCCGAATCAGGATCATGGTTTTTGTGTTCTCTATAGCTCTGACTTGTCTGTCCTCTCCTTCCAGCACAGGAGCACTGTGGCAGAACTAGGATGCCATCTAGTGACGGTAGTGAATTTATGTGAGAGAAAAATATACAATACAAACAAACCCCCTCAGCAATAACAGAAAAATAAACTTCCAGAGCTGTCATACGTGTAGATAAATAAGCTGTACTAATGTAGCTGGGCTGTATTTAGAGCAATCTGCTCGATCAAGGTCCTGATACTTCCCACTAGGTTTGCTGGAAAAACTTAGGTCCTCTCTGAAATTATTGGCTGGCAGTGAGAACCAAGCAAAGAATACTGGCATGCCATTCTCCATTTCTGATACAATTTTTTGGTCATTTTAACTTTCAAACTCCTTCTCGCTGAAGAGTCCCTCATTCAGAAGAGGTACTTGGAAGAAAGTGAAATGTTAATGAAGAGTGTTGGCTGCTCAACAGAAATTATGTCCTAAAAACATAGGCCTGAGGCCAGCCATGTAGCCAAACCAGATGCTGAACTTCTGGGTGTTATGCTTACAAATTTCTCTGTCAGGATTCATAATAACGTTACAGAGTTGATCTCTTATCTAACCCATTTGTATAATTTGTTGTTAATACTGGAGGACAATACTCTATGCTTTGAATGTACCTGTTCAACAGTCTGCCTTACACACTCAAATACTAGAAATAGGAACAAACAACTGAGCTGGAAAAAAAAGAGACTTATGTTAAATAATCCAGTCTACAACTTCAGGAGTCTAAAGAATTTTGAATGAATGCTGCACCAAGCCAGACCCCTACTCACCTCTCCTTGACCATCACCTTCGGTGCCCGGGAGAGCATCACTTTGTCCAGAAGCAGGGCAAGAGCAGGAGAGCACCCCAATAAAAAAAGCTTTTATAGCCCCAGGGAAGCTTCCTCTCTGTGCAAAACATGGCGAGGCTAAGGGATAGCACTGTTAGGAGAGATCAAGCAAGACCCAGAATAGGAACTGAAAAGGGGAGTCAAAGTGCCTCAGTGAGCTGTTGTACTCTATTGAGACAGTAACTTGGCTCAGTATAGCACATTAGGGAAGCTACATGGTCCCAAGCTGGTATTTCAGCACAGTCCAGCTACCCTGTCTTTCGCACAGCAGACTGGAGTGACTTCTGTGTTACACAGCTTAAGGAATGAATTATTTCACAGTCTTTGAGCCATTATAGTTAGCTGTTAAACAAAACTGCTTGGTTCTGTCTCTATAGATTTGCCCCATCTTTGGCGGGTCAAGGCAGCAATGGGAGATACCTCTGGAATTACAGTGGAGAAAATACTAGGATATTCTGAAGGAGGTTGTCATCTTGTGGTGGCAAGGAATGCAGTTTATCAGTGCTCCATAATGGAGATCTACTTGAAGTATTGACTATGCAAAAGCACTGAAGCCCTGGAGAAGTGTAAAAAGCATGGGTCAGTGGTTGAGACTTACATGCTGAAAGAAATGAAATGTGAAAACAGAATTTTGGAAGGGGGGGTGTTAAAGTAACCTGGTCTTGCTGAGTGTTTTAGATTGATCATATGACTTGTGTGTTCTGGAGTTTTGTGTAAATACCTGTTATAAAGCCAATCAGTTTGCCCTTAAACAAACCACAGCTTGGCCCAGGGAAACATGCACACAACAATCTGTTGGAACAGAAACTTTCAGGCTTTCAAAAGATGTCAATGCAAATTTTCCTGCTTACTGACTAAAGAGTTAACTAAGAGGAAGGAAATTCAATTCATAACAATTTTACTTGTTTAATCTAAGTTAGTTTTTTTTTTCTAGTTGGCAACAAGCAGAATGTGAACTACAAATCTCTTTTTGGTATGCATAATGTAAATGAGATATGCACTTTCCTTGTTTATGATTAAGTTGGATTTTATTTTGAAGATTGGGGCAAAAATCTTAATGAAAACAAAATGTAAATGGGTACAAAACCATGACGTTTTAGATGACAAACATTGTTTAATAGGAAAACTTCCATCAGATTTATATGTGTGTTCTGGTGTTTAATTTAAAAGACTTAAGCACTAGATCCTTTTTTCAGAGCAAGAACACCTTTCTGGTACTCAAAAGACTTGTGTTGAAAAGAATTACTGGGAGTAAATTACTGGACTAGTACCCAAAACTGCCTCTCTTTGTAGCAGGGCTAGCAGAAGCTCTGTGTGCTACCAGGTGGAGAGAGGAAAACTGACGCAAAGAGAGAACACAACCTCTTCTGTTCTGCCTGGGCTGTGTTGCCTCCCAAGTTTCTGCAGAGTCTCTTAAACCTTTAACGTGTTGGGATAATTGAGGAAACTCTTACGTGAATGTTTTCTTTCCATTATGTGGAGCTAGCAGTTCTACGATCTAAAGCTTTGAGGATGGAGGGATGTATTCTTTGTATGCGAATGCAGCTGTGTGTATTGAAGTAGTGAAATGCCAAGACATAACATCACTTGGCAAAAGTGGGAAGAGCAAAGCACAGCTTTGTATGCTCCGTCTCTGCTTTCTTGATTTTGAGAGTTTTGTCATCCTACAGCTAGACTCCTTGCTACAGAAGGGAACCTAGTCCCTGCTGTGCTTCTAGTGTTCCAAAACTAGACATGATCGCTAACATCATTTGTTTGCATGTTGAAGGTCTGGATCATGTAGAAGTCCCAGTTCAGACTGGCTTTTCTGGAATTTGGGTGCATATGTCTCTTCAGCCTTAAAAAGGAAAGTAAGTCTTTGGTCACAGCTTACTTAAGACTTGGTGTTCTATATGGACATGCATTACAACTGAACCTGGAAGTCTCTTGCAGACAGAAAGACGTCCATAGAAGAATTTGGGTTGGAAGGGACCTTTAAAGATGATCTAGTTCTGCCCACCCCCCCGCCCCCATCATGAGTAGGGACATCTTCCACTAGACAGTTAGCTCAAAGTCCCATCCAACCTGGCCTTGAACACTTCCAGGAATGGGCTATCCACAAGTTCTCTGAGCAACCTGTTCCAATGTCTCACCACTTTCATAGTAAAGAATTTCTTCCTTGTATCTAATCTGAAAGTACCCTCCTGTAGTTTAAAAACTTTACCCCTCGTCCTATCACTACAGGCCCTTGTAAAAAGTCTCTGTCCATCCATACTGCTATCCTTCCTGTGTCACCTACTTTGGTGGAAACTAGATATAGCTACCCTACAATTCCCATGCACCATGGTGCAGTAGTTTCTCAAAAAGTATTTCCAAGTCCTCTTGTCTCAACCCTGAAGTGCTGGAGTCTGTGCTAAGCATGGTGTCATTAGAAGATACCTTCAAATATGCTTTCCCTTAGCATAGGCTTGCAAAAGGAGGTAAACAGGCTCATGGCCCATCTGCTAATGGGGACAGTGTCTCCCAAGCAACGTCACTGAATGTGGATAGACTGTTTTGTGAATGGTAAGTCTTGAACTTTCCAAGCTAGTGAAAGTGGGAAGCAGAAACAGAAGAGGCAAGCTAGTATTTCTGCTTGCAGTCATGCTGTCAGCCATTTTTCCCAAGAAACACATGTGCTTTGTGGTAGATTAATTCTGATTGTATGTGCAACTATGTGAGTGCAGTTCCAAAATGGTTCTGACCCAACTTCAGCATTCTTAGCAGGTGCTGAAAGGGTTGGAGCCGGTCATCCAGAACAATCAGTTGGACCAGAACATTGGAAAATGAAATTTTAGTGTTAGAATAAGAAAGGCAGTAGCTATAGGCATGTAGGAAACTAACAGCCTGCACATGCACTGAATTAAACCAATTAAGGAGCCGGAGTTTGAGGTAAAGGCAGCTTATTGCTGCAAGAACAAACCTAGAAAGAAGAGAGGCTCCTCTTTGTGGATGGGAATCAAATTGCATCTGCTGCTGGAATGGCAATAACACAGAGAAAAATCTCTCCTTTATGCTGTATGAAAAAGGCTGAAGACTGTTACACAAGCTCCAAAATGATCTGTCCACGCTCCATTCCACTATAGCAAATCAGGATGGCCTCACAATGCCATTTCCTCTTGGCAGGCAAACATTTTTCCTCTTCTTTGTTGGATATTGGGACAACCTGTGAATCTGAATGCTCTACCTGCTGTAAACAGCAAAATTAACGTCTAAGAACATGAATCCTGTCTGTAAACGAATGGCACCCGTATGATATGGGATAGAATAATGGCTTGTTTTTTAACTTCCTCTCATGGCCTTGATGCTTGGGTAGAGTCCATCTGAAATGATTCAGGAGTTGTAATGCTCCCAACCTTTGGACAATTTTCAGACATTACATAATGGGATGCTTCATCTGCTGCTACTCTGAGACTATTCAAACTAGCAAACTTAAATGCACAATGAGAAACTTAGGGGTAAATAGATTTCGGTGGATTTCATTCTGTTTCAGAGATTAAATCATGATCTATAGCGGAATAGAAAAGACTGGTGCCCTAGAACAACTGGAGAAAAAGAAATTAGCAGACTTCAGTGATGCAGAAAAGGAATTAACTGAGAAGAGGAGGAAGATAGCAGGAAGGAGAAAAATGACCTCATCTTTTAGAAGACTGCATAGAACTTTATCTCTTGTATACAGAGACCATAAATGTAAAGCTCAACTTCGGCCAAATGCAAGTCACAATTCCAGACTCATCAACATTTTCAGTTTAGGCTGTGGTACTGCAGAAAAGGAGTAATTCAGGGGTTCAGAGGAGGTTTGCCTCACCCCTGCAGACAGCAAGACTGGGCCCTGCTGACAATATGTGTACTCGTTCCGTAATTTGAAACAAGAAACTGTGGAAGCTCTGACACGCTCTTTCTGTTATGGGGACGTAGAGCATGGAAACATAGGATGCTCAAAGTCACTTATGGAAAGAGGCAACTGAACAAGTGTACCCATAAAGATTATGAAGTAGTGCCCAGAGTGAGACCTTACACTGGCAAGTGTATCCCTCTCAGTTATCGTTTGTGGATTTGTTGAGTTTCTTCCCTGTTTGAGTCCAGTCCAGATCAGCCCCTCCATCCAGCCACAATCCTGCCCATTGGTCAATTTAACAACTTGAATTTCTTAAGGGTTAATCTGAATAAAAGACCCTTTCTTTTACCCAAACCCCAGGTTGAGGACTGGGTCTGTTGTGCTGTGGGTGCAATGGAAGTATAGTGCTGACTTAGACTGGTGGCTTTTGCAGCCCATAGGTAGGGCAGGCTCCAGGGAACGATATAGGATAAAAGATCGTCATTTAAGACATTTTCTGAACTCTCCCTTTTCTAGGACATATTTTTAAGTTGCTTTTCATTTCTTTCTCATGTTTTTTTTTTTGAATGTTAATTCTTTAGGTTTCTGTCCTCAAAGAAGAAAATAAGTCACATGAATTTCTGATGCTTCATCTGATTTTACTTTAGCTTTAAGATACAGCTGTGCACAGATAACAGAATGTAATCCCTGTCATTGAAGTGTAACTAGAGAAGAATTAAAATTGGCAGCTACTGAGGATGCTTAAAAATGTCAGCTTTAACTTCTGATCTCAAGAAAGTAACAAGTCAGTTCTTTCTTCATGGGAAAGCAGAAGGCAGAGAAACCAAGTCTTTTGTGAGTAGATATTCAGTTTTGTAATGTGTTAGGTTTTATGAGTAGATTTCACTCAACAGCTGCGTTTTTCAGTGTTTTTGAATTTGTGTGAGAGAGAAGCCTTAAAACAAAAAAAGGAAACATTTCCCCAAATTCACAATCATTCTCGGTTAGCCCACCCGCTGATAGACTGGGCATTCCTTTGAGTGATCAGCTTTCTCCACTACTTTATAAGTGCAGGTCTCCTTGTTGAAAATGCTTACACACTTCTCATCGTAGACAACTGGTTTTACAAAGCTGTCATTGGGAAAAGAAAGACAAAGAGGTGATGAGCCCGAGAAGTTAACAGCTTCCATTTGAGACGGTATCTACATTTTCAATATGAAGAGGCTATATTGAGGAGGTGTCCAGGAGCAGAAAAGGGAGCTCACACAAAGCTCCTAGCTCAAATGTTACTTACCCTGCTGCATATGCGGGATGAGGGGGGAGTTGTAGTTTACTGATCTGATTTACACTCAAATGATGTTTGTCATATTTATTTGCTACTCCAATATCACTGCTTTTGCTCTTCAGCCACAATATAGAACAAGAATTGCGTGAGTGGTTGGGTGTCGCTATAGGAAAAATTACAGGCTGGCCAGTGTATCTTGAGCTGCTTCTCAGAGTAAAGGGGGGTCATGTGTGGCTTTGGGAAGATCTGGATTAGGAACAGTAGAAATCTCTTAAGTAACTATGTGTTCTCTCTTGGGTCAGTGTCTCGCCTGAAATTTTAGCCCCAAGAAGAATTACGGCCCTTTTTTTAAACCAAGACTCATTTGTTAAACATGAGCTGTATTTGTCAGAGGAACTTCTTGCATGCTCAGTGATGATGGTTTTGGGTTAATGCATAACTTTGTGACATGAAGTGAGTGAGAGAAAGGTCATGGTTGTTTCTCAGGGACCCCTGTGTGAAGGGAAGTGGTTTGTGCTGTAGCATGGCAGTGGAGGAAAACCCCCACTGCTGCTCTGAACTCACCTGGACCAGCAGTCAATTCCATCTGTGGAACAGAAGCAATCAAAGCAGTTGTCGGTCCTCCAGTAAGAATAAAATTCATGCAGCTGTCCCTTAGAGTCACGGCAGCCTGAAAACATAGTGTGCAAGCAGCCTTTGGTGTCAGACCTATTGCACTAACAATGCTATTGCTTGTACAAAATGTGTGGGACCTTTGCTGGCTTTATACATTAACATCCCTATCTGGCATAAACGGAGGTTCCCCAACAGAGCAGGACTGCTACTATTGTAATGCATGGAGAAGGGTATCTTGGGCCCCTCAGTTTCCTGTGGTTCTCAGCAACATCGAGTTTCCTGGAGGAGCTCATCTTTAAGCACAGGAATCAGAGCACCCAGCAGAAAGGAAACTAGGCACAGACCTGGTCAGAATTAAGAAAAGGCTTTGACTTCCCCTCTCATTAACACCAACTATTGTTGACTCCTCATTTAGAGCAAGAATAAATCTGCCCAGAAAACTTTTTCCAATCCTCAGCTGTAGGAAGAAAGCACGTATTGGATATAAAGTTCCTGTCCAACAGTCACAGAATAGACTTCCTAAATCAGTGATCTAGAAAGCAGGATCTTATGAGGATGGGACAAGACAGAGTGGAGGATTTGGGGGTTTTAGGTTGTGTCTTTGCCTATAAATCTGTTCTGTTTCTTTAGCAACGCTAACTCATTTTTCTAGTAGTAGCACTGGCTTTCTCAGGAAAAGCTTTATTTTGGGGCACTTAGTTTATTTTGCATACTGGCACACATCAGCTCTTTTTGTGTTCAAATAATTGCATCTTTCTTTTGAGCACTTACTTTTCTGCAGCTCCACTCATCTGTAGACTGATAAGACTAGCTGTGTTCAAGAAGAGCAGTCGCAGACTCAAGGAGGGCAGACATTCTGTTCTTAAGAATTTGTCTTGGGATAGGGAAACAACTAACAAGTAAGTTGTTCAATGTGCTGAACACTTGCCAATCTGTTTCCTGCTTTATACTGACCACACACATAGAGAAAGGCCCTTTTCTTCCCTTCTCTGTATTTCTAAATATGCTGCCATAGTGAAAACATGAATTATTACTTCATGCAGATAGATAAATGAAGCCTATACTACTTCCCTGGACAAAATTCATTTGTAGTTTGCCTATGTCATGCTCCTCAGATAAACTCTTTTTTTTTTTTTTTCATAACATATTATAAATTCCCTGCTCTCCATACTCCGTTTTGCCTCCCTTTCCTAGTGTTTTCTCTCCACTGTTTCCACTTATTTCTAAATTGTGATAAATTGCACAGAATGGATAAATCAAATCAGGCAGTTCTTGTGCTGATGTCCCTCAAGTTGAGGACAGTTGACTTCTTACCTGCAATGTAACCACCAGACGTCCCTTGCAACTGTGGACGTAAGAAGCTAGCAGCATTGGAGAGTAGCACGTTAATGGCAAGAACAAGAAGGCAGGCCAAGATGGTTTTCTGAACAAGAAAGCAGAATTCATGTGAATACTTAAGTAACTATTAAGATATCTTGATGATAAGTATTGCCATTAGCAGTAGGAAAATACATTATGGTTTCAAATCAAAATCCAATTGTCTTTTGCAGTTTAGACATTTTAACATGCAATCAGGAATACTGAGCCACTTAGAAGAGGCAGAGCATCATGTAGGAGGGAAGAAAAAGTCTGTCTTTCCAAGCTGTTAAAATCAAGCATTGCCTGATATAGGACTGGTAGACCCAGGTACTGTTTATGAAAGGAATGTGTTCTATTTCTTTCCCCTCACCATTCATTTTTCTTGTCCTTATTTTCTCCTTAAGATTAGTCACCATCTCTGCCACTAGCTTCACTCATAGTTGTAAAAACTTCTTCACTGGAGACTGAAGAACCCACTGGATGTTTCAGCCTAATATTGAAGGATTAGGAACAAGCTGAAGAACTTTAGCTGAAGTTGAACACTCAAGACTTTGCCCTGCTTTAAGCAGGAGGTTGAACCAAACAGCTTGCAGGTGTCCCTTCTGACCTAGATTGTTTCATATTCAATGACCTTTGTCATCAGCTTTTTCTGAAAGTTCAGCTTAAATTCCTCAGTTAGCCTCTTTTCCTTCAATATTAATTTGAAAGGTTTGAAGGGCTTTGATTGGGGATATGAAGGAAATAAGTGCAAGAACTCTAGGATGGGAATAGCTGTGATGAATTTAAAATCTTGTTAAGAGAGGAAATGTAGACCAGGAATAAACAGTGACATACACAAACACACACACATGTTGTGTGTGTGACATACACAAACACACACACCAAACGTATGTTTGTTTTGGACAGAGTAGAACTTGTAACTTATAAAAAGAAGTCATACCTGAGAGATGAGAGGATGAAAACCTAACATTTTATTTTCCTGAAGAGAGATTAAAACCCACAGAACTGCATCAGAGTTGCAAATTAGTAAAAGAATCAAGATAACATTTTTTAATTTAAATAAATGTTCAGACATTATCTAGATTTTTCACAAAAATCAAGGCCAGTTCTACGTTGAGATATAACAGAGCTCCTTTCAGCCAGAAAAGAGATTATCTCAAAATATTACATGTAAGTGAAAATTGATTATAATAAAAACCCTTAGCTGGAGTCCTGTTAGACATCTCCTGCCATATACATGCTGATATTTTTTACCTAAGGTTCTTACCTGCCTGTGCTTAACTGTCTGACTTCTGCTTTAAAACCACAGAATTTATACTTGCTCCAAGTTGCTTAGATCTCTGAGTACTGAGAGAAATCCAACAGAACCTCCTTTAAAATCTATAGATATATACCATGGTCTTTTGCTGTTTAAGATGCAAGGACTCACCATTCTTGCAGAATTATGAGGCTTCCAGTAAGGACACAGCTTGTAGGAAATTCATCTTCTCAGAGAACTTATATAGAGAGGGAATTTATGATACCAGTCCTTGAGCAAACTGAACATGCATTAATAACTCCAATGAGGTTTCTGCAAAATGGCTTCATGGGGTGGACATTATTAAAATAAGTCAATTATATACAGGAAGGTTTGGTTCTGAAAGGCACTGAAGAAATAGGCGTGGCTTTTGTGCCACACTAGATCTGGAAGACGGTTATGGGAGGTACTCGGAAAGCAATTTCAAGCTTGGAAGGAATATTTAGCACTCACTCTGAGAAACCCATTAGAGGCATTATGGGTGTTACTCACAAGGAAATTTGCATGCTTAGTTTGAGTCATCTAGGTTTTAAAAGAGAGGAAATTTGAACAATCATTCAGCTTTCTTGTTTATCAGCTGAAGATGAAAGAAGGCTTTCGTAGAAAAGGAGTGGTGGTTGGAAGGTTTACATGTAAAACAGGGTTTCTGTGGAGAGTGGCTGGCATCTGTAGCCCCTTAGAAAAGGGTCCTAGATAACAATTTTCTTCCTTATTCAGTTTTCCATCATGTAGAAGACCCATATGCTCAGGTCCTCTGTGAAAAAATAAGCATTATGTATTTTCTTCCTGAATCCTTGTAGCCAGGGAGAAATGGTTCCTTTTCTGCAGACGTTGTACACTTCAGGGCAGACACACTTTCCGAGTGCTTACAACAGTAATTTGATAGCAAAGGAGTCAAGTACAGTCCCCTTTTGCTTAGCATTGATCTAGTTGGTTCAAATATTTCAAATTGTGTAGCCTTGGTAGGTGAAGAAGTCTCCCCCTTGTTACCAGGGCTGCACAGTTTGCAATATCTGAACTAGTCTGACTGCCTAATTGTATTGCCTTACTGTGTGGGTTTGGGAGTAGAGTTTGAACTCCAAGCTGGGGTGATTACTCAACATCTTCTACACAAACTCCAGAGCTGAGAGCTAGCTCAGGAGGTCCACGTGACAATGCCAGCATTACTGCAATGCAGGTCACAGCGAGACCACTACTTACAGTGACAGGCTTAGCTGGCTTTCAACTCAGTGGGTTGAGTAAATCGTTTTCTCTTCAGTTACCAGAGCTTTCTTCAGGCTGGCAGAAAAGAGTTGAAGTGCTTGCAGGTGTTCATAGATTTGACAAAGCTGCCCACAATCAGCCTATTGCTAATAAGTTAGATTTGGCAATGCTGGTGTATGCACTGCCCCGAAACAGGAGATGACTAGCATTACAGCCACACGGCTCATGCCATGACTCCTAATCATTGGTAAACCAACACGTCAGCCTAGGAGCACAGGCACTGGGAATTTCTTTACCGACGTCAACAGAGTCCACATGTCCCCTTTGGATCTCTCACAAATGTGTATGAAGTCAATTTAACCACGTCATTGTGGTTTGGGATGCTGTCAGTGTTTCAGAGGAGGTATTTCAGAGCATGTACATTTTTCTGTTAAAGGGGGAAAAAAGGCTCAGTAAGGTAACAAAGTAATACACCATGATCCTATGCCAAAGCTGTCTCTTGTGGTGGTTGCAATGAGGATACGGAAAGTTCACACTCTCCCTTCTGATGTCCTCTTCCTATGCTGCCTGACCTGATTGGTTTACATCTGTGAGATGGCTAAGGATAGGCTCTGGTTTTGCATGTCTGCTTTTTATAACCTTTATGTGCTGAGAAGTAACTATTTCCCCTTGACTGACAATACCGTGGGAAGTACCACAGAGCCGTGTTCAACATATTGGCTCCTCTGTGTCCTCAAAGGTAATCTGGAGCAAGTATTCCATGCTAGTTGGGAAGAAAAGGACAATCAAACTGCATTGCCTTAATTCTGTTAATATTACTGAGCCATTTAATTTTTTTCTTCTTGCATGTTGTGGCGTTTGCATGCAGTATTTTGCTTTACAGGCACCCTGCAGCAGTTTTTATGTGTGAACAAAAGTCACCACATCCATAGCAATTTGTGGTGCTGGTGTACTGGAGTGAGACACATGGAATTTGTTACAGCCAAGACCCGGTCAACTTGCTGGTTTGGTGTTGAGTTAGAGAAAACACATTTGTTGCTCAAATCCAAAAGACAAAAATCCAACAAATGCACCCATGTGTGCTCTCTCTCAACTTTTCAGACAAGCAGTGACCATACAGCTTTTCTCATTGCAGGACCCTCCCTGTTTTCTAGGTGCAAGCTATGCCAGGTATGGAGGTTCTTACAAGCAGCTTTCTTTGGAACACAGTAGGGAGCAACCTATGTGAGCCTGGGCAGTGCCTAGGGACGGTGAAGAAGCTCTTTGTGTGATCTGTGAACTCAGGGGACCCTAATAACATGCTGTGGGGCTGAAACCATTGAGAACGATGGACTCTATGTAGATAGTCCATTCTTATATTGATTACTGAGGTAATTTGTGGCCCATATTTTGTTATGTTTCTTCTTCATGTTGTTCATGTACGGGATGATAGGTGTCTTGCTTGTGTGGGGAACAGGTATCTTCAACAGATATTGCTCTGTTGAAATCTCGTGTGTCTTCCCAAACAGTTTATTTCTTACTAAAAACATCCTAAGAGTATCAGTGCTCTGCCCATTTCTGTGCCCTCTTTCCACTCATGCTGATGAACAAACTATCCTATTTCTTCCTAAAGCGGGGAAAAATCTTGGGGGCTTTCTTGAAGATTTATCTCAATATTTTACTTAGTCATTCTTCAGCTGTGATTTCTGGTTACATTTCACTTATGACCACAGAGATAGTGAGAGTAACACAAGATTATCAGCCTTGTTTTTTCTGTTGATTGCCTACCACTGAAAGATACAGAGAGAAAAACAGCGTGATTTCAGAGCAGTAAAGTTAATAAAAAAAACCCCAAACAACAAAAAAACCCAAAAAACCCCAAAAAAACCCACATACACACAAAACCCCAAAACAAACAAAAAACCCCCATAGCTAATACTTAAGAGCATTACTCTATGAACAACTTAAAGCTGGAAGAGATGCACTAGAATGAAAGCAGTCTAGGAACCTTGTTTCTTAACCCAGCATTTCAGTACTACTCTCACATTCTTAAGAAGGATCTGCTTTCTGCAGGAGAAAGTAAGTGCAGGACTCCTTATGGAAGATAAAGTCATGTGTCCAGTCATTAAAACTGGTAGGATGACTGGTACTGCCATTGAGAGAGGGAAAGGAAGAGGAAGCATGAGGCGTATCAGCTCGCAGATCATAAGTAAACATTCTTACAAATAAATTCATCTTGACCTTAAACTAACAAGTCTATGTAAAATGTACATTGGTTTTACAATTGTTAAACAATCTGCCACATTTGCATGTGAGAAAGGACAACTGTTTTAAGGAAAAACGCAAAGCAAACAGCACTAAAATATACGGTGTACTGTTGACACAGAAGCATACTGGAAATGTGTCAAGAAGGTAGAAGTTTTATCCTGATGGGAACATTTCTGTTAACTCTGAGGTTCATATATGCACAAATCTCAAAGCCTATGCCATCTGATCTCTGCCAGTATATGGATTAGCAAAGAATTGTATTAATTTTACAGGCAAGGGGCATAGGTGGTATGAGTGACTTGTCCCAGGTAACGTGACATAGCAGAAATTTGAATTAGGTCTCAATTCAAGCTAGGGGGCCCAAGCTGGAGACAGCAATGTCATGTCTCCTCTAATCTGAACACCTCTGTCTCCTTCCAGATGTAACAAAGTCCCCATCCCTGGGTCAAATTTCAGTTTTAATTCAATGCAATTTCAGTGGGATGAGAAACATTTAATTTCTTTTTCCCCATTTAGTTCTGTTGGTAAGTAAAGTTCCCTCTTGCTAAGGCGCAAATCCATTTTTTAAAAAACATATGGTAATTCCTCAGCTAGTCTGGAAAAACCTGTCAGGTTGTGATCCTCAGTTAAAGGATCAGTGCTAAGCAAGATGCATAGAGACAGACAAGAAGATCTAAAGAACCAACCACAAATGTCAGACTGTGTTTGCATGAGGAGACCTCCATCTCTGCAGTGTGGGTAGCACTGAGGAAGATAGGCGCATATACTACAGCAGCAAAGACAAAAGTCCAGAGGCAGTAGAACAGAATGGATAGGAGTGACAGAGCTAGCCAAAAAGATATCTCTAATCTATGGGAAATGCAATATTTCCCACATTTCTATCTTTTAATTCAAGCCATGTGGCAACAAAAAGATCTTAGAAACCTTCAGCAAACCAGAAAATGACAGAAAAGTTTATTCCAGAAATGAAAAAACACAGTGATTCCGAACACAGCTTGTTATCCTGACCCTGCAGCTGATTAAGCAAATTAAGATCATCAGTCTATGAAAAAGTAAAGACTTCCTGAAGGAGACGTTACTTAAGGAGTTAGCTGTAGGCAGGGTGGTGGGTGGGAGCATTGTTGTAGTTCTTGCTATCAGTGTCTCTGACTTTGTGAAACTTATGTTTATGTGGTGCGACAGTGGACCCTGCTCTGGCTGCACTGCATTGGAAGCACACCTTTGGTCCTCCAGGTGGTACCAAACTTGTGCAGTCTTCCATCTTTAACACAACCTGCACATGCATGCACAAAATGAAAGGGAGCTTAACTTCAGTTTTATAGTGTTGGTTACTCAGTTCAGAGACTTCTGGCCTTTTTTTTTTTTTTAAAAAAAAAAAGCTTAGTTAATTCTGTGTATACCCTACTTACACCATATTTTAGCTCTATTTAGAAAGCATGAGCTTGCTTCCATTTTCTAATCTTGTTATTCACTGATTCCATGAAGATAAAACTCAGTAGTTGGATATTATTGCTGCATGGACTCAGAACAGACTGAGGTGGGGAGGGCAGCCAAAGAACACTTCAGCCAAATCCATGGGATATCTTGGATGTTGGAATCTTCTCTTTTTTTTTTTCCTTCTCTGTTGTTTTCTACTGTGGTGTATAAAATCCTGCTTCCTTCCATTTCTTGTTCTACACCCTTCCTGTCTGTTCCTGATGGACAGCAACTAGAACAGAACATCATCAAGAGGGCTGTTGTGGCCCTTATCTCTGGCAGGTTCCACCAGAATTGCACCTGGGCTGTTTAGTTCATAGTAACAACAAGCATTGCGTAGTGGTGTCAAGAAGGAAGCCCAGGAAACACTGCTGTAAAAACCCCACAATGTCTGGGACTACTTCTTGAAACCATTTTAACAGTTAATGGGAGCATACTTGTGCTAGAAGAATTGCTTTCCCCTCTTTGAGAAAGCAAACAGGAATCACAGCACCTGAAAGGGTAGAACATTTAACAGGCTCATGTAATTTTTTCACAAAATGACAGCTAGTATTTTATTTTTGTTGTTTCTTCAAATGTGAAATATGTTGCAGCTCAAATGCATGTACACTATTGCCATGGCTCCCTGATCACATACATGTCAACAGATTGACTCTGAGTGCTATAAAATCTTAAGAATCCAAAATTTGGACTTACCATGATAAAAATGTGTCATTTCTAAGGATCTCTTGTATGACCTGTCTGGTATTTCCTGGAGCAGTGAATATAAAAAAGCCAAATATGTATTCTTTGGTGTCTTACCAAGCAAATCAAAAAATATTTCTGGTTTAGAGAGGTTCTGTTGGAATTTCAGAGAAGTCACTGAACTGATATATCTCCATGTTTCTGTCCTATACCTATAACCCTCATCTTTGTGGTATGCAAATAATGACAAATATTCAAAACAGAGGGTGAGTGATATATCATCCTGCTTTCCTGCAGCTGAATTAGCTCAAGAATGCAAAAAAACAAACAAACAAACAAAAAACCCCCAACCAAACAAAAAATGCTTGTGGCAATACTGTTAAGCATTTCCCCTCTCAGTAGACAGGCTTTCCATTTTATAGCAAGAAAGAGTCAAGATTCCTAAGCTTCATTGCTAAAACTGTTCTATTTAGGGGAAAAAAATACTTTCAGTAGTGCCAGCTACTATGGCAACAGAAAACTCAATAAAATTACATGTTGAAACTAGAAGATCTCTTTTTAAGAAACATCTGGAGGGAATTTCTGGGTCTCAGTGAAACCAGACTATTCTCTGGAGTCTCTAGGTCAGATCTCTCTACACTTCCTTGGCCTGGTAAACTCACCAGAAATCATTTTCTGGCTTTTCCATTGCCAGCTCTTGTTTGTGCTGGGTTGCTCAGGTTCTGCTACAAGTACATGTCGTGGAGGAGGTGCCCTTGCAGTGGAAGATGGGCTTCCCCACCCACGGATAACTTCTGGAAGGATGTGCTAATCACATTGATTAAATGTGCTGTTTCTTCCCAGTCCCGTAACCTTAATGAATATATTAAAGATGAGATCCAAAGCCTGTGGTAGTTTTCTTGTTTCAGTC